TCTCTCTCTCTCTCTCTCTCTCTCTCTCTCTCTCTCTCTCTCTCTCTTTAGGTGGTGACATTTCTTTTTCCATGTTACAAAGGAGAAACCTGGGGCACAAAGTTCTTTGACCTGACCAAGGACACAGAGAACAGAAAGTGGGGAGCTGGGATTCAAAGTGCAACCTGACCCTGGGAGTGCCTAGCTTTTATGATTCTGAAAGGATATACTGAGGACATTCAGGGAAGCACTAACCTTCATCCCACAACTTGCCCACTGGCTCCAAGTTATCCAGATCTGGCTAGTTGACCTATGCCCCCCTCCAGCCTGCAGCTCTAGCCATCTCAGGCTCCAGCCAGGCTCCAGCCTCCCGGCTCTTACCTTTAAGTGGCCCCTGGGTCTAGCCCTTGTCTCTGAGCTGGGCAGGCTGCCAGTAATTTGGAAAGATCTGCAGGCCAGGGGTGATCAGCTTTCTTCTATCCCTTTTACCTGTTCCCAACATCCTGAGCCCTAGAACTGAGACAGAGCCGGATGCTGGCTCATGAGTGTGAAAAGCGAGTGACTCATCCAAGACAGATTCAACCAAGAGATTTTATTGGGGGGCTGCCCGAAGGGGAAGAAAGGAGAGGCAGAGAGCAGAGAGAGGAGAGGAGGAGGGCATAGAGCAGAGAGCAAAGAGCAGAGAGCAGAGAGGAAGAGGGAACAGAGCAGAGAGAAAGAGAAAGAGTGCAGAGAGTGTGAGCTAGCAAGCTTTGGCTAAAGAAGGGTTGCATAGGTGACGTGGCAGGTGAGGACTGGCAGGGTGACTCAGGAATGGGGGAATGGACACTATGTCCCAAGGGGATTGGTGGAGAAAATTTTTGAATTTGGCAACCTTCAGAGAGGAGCGGGAGGGGTAAGGGATTCTGTGATGTTCTCCAGAGACAGAAATTTAACTTCAGTGGGAAGTCTCCCACACACCCAACAGTGGGTACCAGCTCACCATTAGCTCCCAGTCAGCAGGAAGTCACCATCCCTGAGGGGGGGCACCTTCCCCAGGGGGTTCACCTTTAGGAATCCAGGGTAGAGGTGTTGTTTTTGTGGGCAGAGAGGAGGGGAGACTCAGTACATGACCTGACTGCTCACCCTTCTGGACCGTACCCTTCTCCCAAAATTGGTCCAGTATTCTGTGCTCCTCCCTGAAACCTACTTCCTCCAGACCCAGTGGGCTGGTGACCCAGTACCCACTGAGCCACCACCCCTCCCTGGCCTTTGGAATGGAAGTAGGGGCCCACTCTGGAACCTGAGGAAACAGGAGCCACCCTCTGGCCACACCTTCCTGGCCCACACGAGCAGACTATAATGCTTTCCCTACTCTTTTCACAGGAACTGAAACTTTCCAGTGGATAGAACTTTGGGGGACATGCCCCTAACACACATTCACAGGTTTTGTGGCTTGCATGGGGCTGATACTATGTCTGGTTTCAGGAACAGCACATGGCTTATCTTGGTGGGTGGACACCACGCAACCCTTGGCCATTCTGAAAGTGTCTATAGGGTTACTGTGAGAAGTTCTGGGACCATGGTTGGTGCTCTTGGGAGTGAGAGACCAAGACATATGTCCAAATCTTGCACCCCTGGCTGGGCCATCAGTACACTCTAGGAGTCACTGGGAGCACAACAAACATGGGCCCTTTCCCAGGGCCAGGCAGCCCCCTAGGAACCAGCATCCTTCATGAACTGGCTGATGTGGAGCCCAGACAGGCAGGAATTGAAACTAGATAGGTCCAGCAGAATCATCTGTTTCCCAGCAAGACTTGTGATGGGAAACTGGACCCAGTTCTGGCATGCCCAGGAGTGCCAGAAACCCTTGGCCTGATACCCTGGGACACAATGTATCTACTCTGCATCTGCTCTATGCAGGCAGCTCCTCATCCAGATTTGCCATCAGGGATCTGGGGCCACACCCTGAAATGGGAGATGAAAAGAATAGCCAGAGAAAAAGGAAAGCAAAAGGGGAAATAGGGATAAGAAAAGAGCAGAGAAACATCCATTCCTTTGTTCATTCATTCATTCAGTGGAGAGTGAGATCAGAGACAGAAAATAATCAATGGAGGGAATGGACAAGGACAGATGACAAGAGAGAAGTCTTTATTGTGTCTGTTATTCCTTCAAGAGGAGTCCTAATGTAACTTTTGCAGAGACTCTACCTGCCCCAGAGACTCAGGATAGGGTTATGGGCCTCCTGGGTTTGTTCTCTACCTAAAAAAGACTCCACTTGCCCATGTCATTCCACCAGTCATCCCTCTCATCACAGCTAACGGTCATAGGCTGTTGGACATGGATGCACCAGTGATAAGGTCTCCAGAGACAATAGCACAGGATGCAGGGACATCACCCTGACCTGCACCTGAGAAGGGTGACAGCTGCAGAATCTGAAAAAAAAGCCAAAGAGGGATTCTATCACCTCTGCCAGAGGCAGGCAGGAGGCCAGAAAGCACCCCAGGCAGGGGAGTGGATGGACACTGCGCTGCCGCTCCAAGCATTCCTGCAGCAGCACGAATTTTTCCCATGCCTCTCTGCTCCCCGTTATGGATCAGCATCCACTTATCAGAGAGAAAATTCGACCTTTGGCTTTTCTTGGAAATGACTTGCTTCACTTAGCATGATATTTTCAAACTCCATCCATTTATCTGCAAATGACACGATTTTATTCTCTTTTAATGCTGAGTAATATTCCATTGGGTATATATACCACAGTTTCTTTATCCATTCATCCATTGCAGGGCATCTAGGTTGATTCCACAGTTTAGCTATTGTGAAGTGAGCTGCTATGAACATTGATGTGGCTGTATTACTATAGTATGCTGATATTAAGTCCTTTGGGTATAGGCTGAGGAGTGGGATAGCTGGTCAAATGATGGTTCCGTTCCAAGATTCTTTTTTTTTCTTTTTTTATTAGTTGTTCAAAACATTACAGAGCTCTTGACATATCATATTTCATACATTTGATTCAAGTGGGTTATGAACTCCCATTTCCGTTCCAAGATTCTAAGGAATCTCCATACTGCTTTCCAGATTGGTTGCACCAATTTGCAGTCCCATCAGCTATGTATGGGTGTGCCTTTCCCCCACCACATCTTGCCAACATTTATTGTTGTCTGTATTCCTGATAGCTATGAAAGGAAATCTTAGAGTAGTTTTGATTTGCATTTCTCTAATTGCTGTTGATGTTGAATATTTTTTCGTATATTTGTTAATTGAACATATATCTTCTTTTGAGAAGTGTCTGTTCAGATCCTTAGCCCATTTATTGATTGGGTTGTTTGTTTTAGGGACATTAAGTTTTTTGAGTTCTTTATATATTCTGGAGATTAGTGCTCTATCTGATTTGTGTGTGGCAAAAAATTTGCTTCCAAAATGTAAGCTCTCCGTTCACCTCATTGATTGTTTCTTTTGCTGAGAAGAAGCTTTTTAGTTTGAGTCCATCCCATTTATTAATTCTTGATTTTATTTCTTGTGCTTTGGGAGTCTTGTTAAGGAAGTTTTTGCATTAGGAGTCTTGATTAACTTTATTGCTTACTTTTTATTCTTTATTGGAGTGTCTGTTAAAAGTAAAATCATCCAATTGTAAACAACTGAAAAGCACACAGGGTGGATCAAAAAGGTTCAGGCTGCCACCACTTATCCTCAACCCCAGGGGGATGCAGGAAAAAGCCTAGAAGAGCAAGTTAGGGTGCCCCTAAAAGTACGAGGAATCTCTGAAAGGAAGAGGCAGCCAGAATAGTGTCTAAAAGGGCTGCCACACACCAGCCACCCCCAGGGCAGTACAGCCACAGTTTGGTTGCTGCTTGGAGCACAATAGGTAATGAAGAGCATAAAAGCAGGTTGTTAGGAAGTCCATTCGTAGTTGTCAGTGACATCTACCATCACCTACCAGAATGTATCCACTGTCAGCTACATGGCTTCCTGTGAAGAGCTCTTGAGAAGCTGGAGCACCCTTAGGAGATGATACCATGGGTCTAAGTACTACCATTCTTGGAAGTCTGAGTTCTCAGGAGCCCCTCCTCTAGCACCTAGGTTTTCAAGATTCCAATGTCCTTCCTTGGTTCCTAGTCCTAGGAATGGGGACCAAGGGCGGGGCTTCTTGCAGTGATACTCTCTGTGATAATCTGGTTTGTCTGTATTTAGGGTTCACTAATACCTGGATACTAATTCTTTTTAATAAATGTTTTTTAGTTGTAGATGAAAACACAGAATTTTTATTTATTTATATGTGGTGCTGAGGAACGAATCCAGTGCCTCACACATGCAAGGCAAGCACTTTACCACTGAGCTACAGTCCCAGTCCTGGATACTAATTCTTTATATTGAATTCTCTCTGTTAAAATAACTGGTGTGATACACATGGAGGTTTGTGTAACCATGTATGAATCCTACTGTTTGCTGTTACTGTGAAACTGTCTTGGAAGACTAGTGCTTGTTAAAAGAAACCTTTCAAGTTTCTTAGACTTCAAAAACAACTAGTATGTCCTGTGAAACATCATATTCATCCTGTAATAGTCTGCAATTCTAATTGGCTACTTAATATTTTGTTGCCTTGCTAATAGTTTTATATGGTGTTTGATATTTGTGAGATTTCTTTAGTTAATCATATGGGTCACTGGGACAAAATTTTATCCCATACATATAATAGAACAATGTAATAAAAACAATAATTCTTGGTTTCTTATTCATAGTCTTTTTTTTTTTTAGTACTGAGGATTAAACCGAGGGCTTTTGCTTGCTAGGATGTTATATTCTCAGCCTCCCTTTTTTTTAAAAAAATCATTTTGAGATAGAATATGGCTATGTTGTACCTCAGTCTCTAAGAGTAGCTGAGATTACAGGCACAATCATGCCCACTAGAATCTTTACTATTTTTAAAACACAGATGGTGTTTGCCAATTTTTTTTTGGTTTTGTTTTCCTTCATGTAATTGATTTTTAGGAGCTCTTTATATATTGTGGATTTAGTCTCTTATTGGTTATATATGCTGCACCTGAGAATTCCTGTCAAACATACCTGATGTTCTGCCTCTGCAGAGCTCCTCCTGGAGCCAGAGACAAGGGACTAGAACAAAAAGAAAAAGATAAAAAGGGGCAAGAAACAGAATGAGTCTTTATTCTAGTCAGATCACTCAAGGAATCTTAGAAATACGAAACAGCATATTTGTTTGGCTCTCTGGTGGGGGCACAGGAAGTGTTTTTTTGGTCATCTGTTCCAGAATGTTGAAGATGGGGCCATGGGCCTCCTGCCACAGCTCAGTACCCAGGGACGCTTCCATACATCCACGCCAGGCTGCAAGTCGTGGCCGTCCCACAAACACATCATTGCCAAGAGCCACGGGCTGCGGGGACAAGGATGGGAAAGTTGTGAAGATACTGAGGACCCAGAGCTGGGAACACAGCACAGATGTAAGGGACATGATCCCTTCCCCAACCTCTACATGAGGCCCAGGTCAGAGAAGTGAACCCCAGGGCCTGAAAGCAGCCAGAGTAACACCACTAAGCAGGAAGCAGAAGGTCAAGCTCTGTTCCTAGTTTAGCCAGAGACCCTCTCTGTGATTCTGGGCAAATCCTGGCTTTCCCCAGGCCATATTATTTCTGACTTGTGGGAGTGGCAATAGAAAGAGTTCTGCCCATAGCCACTGCTCTACTGGCCTATCTCCTACCTGTATCAGCTCCTCCAGCAACATGAGATCAGCCAGCGACACCTGCTGTCCCACAAGGAAGGGCTTATCCCCCAGGAACTTGGACTCCAGTTGCTGCAGAGCATGGTCCATATAGGTCCTATTGCGTTTCACCTTCTCCTCAGGCACCTGGGTCCCAATAAGTGGTGCAAGCACCTGATGTGGAATAGGTTGGGCTTAATCGTGACCCTTCCCCCTCCCAGGTCCCTGAAGGGGACTATCCCCAGATGGCTCTCCTCACCCGGATCCACAGGGTCACCCCAAAGATGCTTCGGATGTTGTCTGCATGCCAGCCCAGGTACTCATGGATCTGGGAACGGGTCTGCAGGTCAGATGGGTACCAATGGTCTGCTACCTGGTACTTACAGCTCAAGTAAATCAGGATGGCTGAGCTGGAAACAGGGATAGGAAGAGGGGCTGTAAGGACCCTGGCTCTGAACCTTTACCTCCCAGTGCTTCCATCCCCCAGTGGGTCCTTGGGGCTTCTCTGCATTTGATGGATACTTCTGTCCTCACTCTCCCCTATTCCCACCTCTCTGATTTCTCCTTTTCTTCCTGACCCCTGCCCTCAAAATCCCTTCCTTCCTCTCTCTCTCTCTCTCTTTTTTTTTAAGTGCTGGGGATTGAACCCAGGGCCTTGTGCCTAGGCAAATGCTTTACCACAGAGCTACACCCCTAGCGTTTTCCTCCATCTCTCAGCCAGACCTGTTTGTCCTTTCAAAGACTTGTCTCTGGGACAAGTCTGGGCTGCTTCCTGCTTATCTCAGCATCTGCCCTATAAGGTAGAGGCTCTTGTTCTCCCTTTTGTATATGAGGAAACTAATGCTCCAAACAGTTAAATGAAATTGTCCCAAAGCTTCACAACTCAGAAAACTGACTCTCTTGTCCCCTGGAATCCTGCATGGAGCAGGGACACAGTGGGCTTCCATGGATGCTTTTGAATGTCCACACATGCATGGGTCAGCGATCAGAAGGGAAAGCATATTCTCAGGTTTCCTTGTCAGGTTCCTTAGCCATTGCTTTTTTTGTGTGTGGGGGAAGTACTAGGGATTGAACCCAGGGGTGTTTAACCACTGAACAACATCCCCAAAGCTTTTTATTTCTTATTTTGAGACAGGGTCTCACTGAGTTGCTTAGGGCCTCACTAAGTTGCTGAGGTTGGCTTTGAACTCATGATCTCAGCCTCCCAAGTCACTGGGATTACAGGTCTGTGCCACCATGCTCAGCAGCCATTACTTTCAAAGTCTCCTGACCTCTTGTCCTCTTCCTGCATGATGGGAGAACCCACCAGGAGCTATGCCTTCAAGCCCTGGCACTGGTCTCCAGAGCCAGCTTGGGCAGTCTGGGGCAGGGAATATCTGAAAAGTCTGGAGAGATCCTTTTCAGCTTCCATTTGTTGAACCTACTCTCTGTCCAACAGTGGACAAATGTCTCCTTGACCTCTTCTCCAATACCCCTCAGTCTGGGAATGGAGAAGCACTAGGGACCAGCAGAGGAGGCTATAGACAGAAGCAGGGACAGGGTGGGTCAGTCCCTAGTAACAGATCCTGCTCTCCCCCAACCTTTTCCCTCACTGCCCCACAGGGTCTGCAAGAGCCCACAGGAGGAGGGGTGGGAGAGGCTGGAAGGCTCAGGAATTAGGAGAGAGGGAAGGAGGATACCTTTCAGTCAAGATGAAGTCACCATCTTTGAGCACAGGCAGCTTCTGCAGGCTGTTAATCTGCAAGAACTCCTTGCTGCAGTTCTGCCCTGAGGAAGAAGTTTTTTTTTTTTTTTTTTTAAATGTTATTCACCACATCAATAGACTTAAAAATAAGAACCATATGATCATCTCGATAGATGCGGAAAAAGCATTCGACAAAGTACAGCATCCCTTTATGTTCAAAAATCTAGAAAAACTAGGGATAACAGGAACATACCTCAATATTGTAAAAGCAATCTATGCTAAGCCTCAGGCTAGCATCATTCTGAATGGAGAAAAA